GATGTGCACATCCGAGTAAAAGCTAGTAAAGGTCCTTCGAAGCTGAGCAAAGTTCTCAGCCTGGGATGCCTGCTGCTGTCCGATTTCGGACATCCTCTGCAGGATGGTATCCTGCTGCTCCAGGATCCTCCTAGCCCATTCAGGGGTCGGATCAGCCTGGGTCGTAGCTGGGGTGGCCTGAGGAGTGGGTCGGCGGCGAGTGGCCCTCCTAGACGAGACCTGCGAAGATGCTCCTGATGTCGAGGGCGCAGATGAGGAAGCGGCGTTGCTCTCGGTAGAGCCAGCTCCCAACCTCCTACGAATGTGGGCATTCCTCAGCATGCCGGCATCCAAATCTCGCATCATCATCTGAGCTCGTGGAATGGGCGCCGATCCCTCGAGTGATCGGAAGAGTATGGTGACTACGAAACCACAGACAATGTGCGTCCGATTCCCCATGGACTGACTGTAGAGAAATCGGGCCACAAAGACAGCCACATTCACCTCCCGGCGTGTGTGCAGGCTCCAGAAGACAATCAAATCATCGGGGTATACCCGATCCGTGTTCAACGGCCTCCCAAAGAAAGATGTCGAAAGCACAAAAGATAGGATTCGCCAAGTCGGCTGAATCCAAAACCTGGCTCGGCCCATGCCCTCAAAGCGGTCTGGATCTGAAGAATGTTCTGCCCAAAAGTCAGCGGGATCAATGTCTGCAGGGAGAAGGTACGGTGCGGCCTCGAATTCTGGCGTCGATGTCTCCTCCGAACTGTAGAGACCCAAGTGTGTAGCCAGATCGGCGACCGTCAGCTGAAATCCTCGCCCCAAGAGAGTGAAAGAGAGGGTTGTACGAGAGTCGATGGACTGGAAGTTCATCGACCTCGACCCTGCAGATGGCTCCAACTCTAGAGAGCACAGGAACTCGATCGTCAGTGGCAGGCTAGACTCGGCCCGCATCATGAAGAGGCGATGCCACCTAGTCCCTTGTAACAGCTGCTCCATCTCTTCAGCGTATCCGTAATCGGCGAGAGCTGCCGAGGATAAGTACACAGATTCCGTCAATGAGCGATGACGACCCCACATCTCAAAGCGCTGGATGGGTCCAGAACCCACCAGGTGAACATCGGCACGCAAAGCAGTCGGGTATGCTGGTCTGTGAGGCATCTGCACATGAAACACACATATAAAATCTTGCCCCCACGTAGGTGCGACAAGTCTCCATTCATTTATTCAAAAGAAAGGAACAACAGAAAATAATAACTAAATAAGGTAGAAATAACGGGTTGCCTCCCGTTCAGCGCTTCTTTAACGTCACTAGCTTGACGCGATTGCTTCACTTGTGGAGTTTAACCTCCACTTTCCCTTTTTGAAACTGCTCACCGAAATACCTCTTGATCTGTTGACCGTTGACCTTGAACGTTCCAGATTCCCCTCTCAACTCCACGGTTCCATAAGGGAAAACTCTGGTGATTGTGTAAGGCCCTGTCCATCGGGAGCGAAGCTTCCCTGGGAACAATCTCAAACGAGAATTATAAAGCAACACTTTTTCACCTTCGCGAAAGACCCTATTCTGCTTAATATGAGCGTCGTGATAAAACTTCATCCTCTCCTTGTATAGCTTAGCATTGTGGAATGCTAATGCTCGCCATTCGTCTAGCTCATCTAGCTGGTAAAATCTTTCTCGCCCGGCTTCAGAAGAATCAAGGCAAACATTTCGTAATGCCCATAATGCCTTATGCTCAATTTGAACTGGAAGGTGACAAGACTTTCCGTACACCAAGTGAAAGGGAGTTGTACCAATTGGTGCTTTATA